TAGAACATCAAATACCTGCCTCATGCCAACACTCCAGTACAGCCTAGACTAACTAGGCTCTAACATAACGTCATTAGACGAGACTAGACTACGAGGAAAAGCTAGAAAAGAGACGACTTTGGGGGACTTGGTGGCAGCTTACAAATATATCAGGGGAGAGCATCAGGGGCTAGTTGAACGCAACTATTCACCAAAGCACCCCAGGGGAAAACCAAGAGCAACCGTCGCAAACTCCTAGGAGAAGGTTTCTGACTGGATACAAGGAAAAATGTCTTCAGGGTTCATGTGACCAGACTCTGAATAGACTCCCAGTGGGGGGGTGCAGGCACCGACCCTGGAGATCTTCAACAGGAGACTGGACGCACACCTCGCTGGGGTTATGTGTCCCCCGCAGTCTTTCCTGCCCAGGGCAGGGAGCTGGACCCGACGATCTCATGAGACCCCTTCCAGCCCTAAACTTCTGTGAATCTGTAATTTAAAAAGGTACATTCCTTATTAAAAAATAAAAGAAAACCCCAGAAACTTCAAATCAAATAGGCATCCCCTTTCTTATTTGAAATTGTTCGATGCAAGGAAAAAAAGCAGGTGAGCTCAGTGATGCCACCAGGTGGCACAATTAATTTCTCCTGATAACAATAAATGCTAGAACTTAAAAAAGACATACAAAAAAAAAAAAAACTAGAATTCTTGGTTCCAAAATGATATATTTTATTAGACCAACTGGAAAATCACAAGAAAACTGTCCTTTAATTTTAAATTTTAAGAAGGAATTTATATGAGCCTGACTGACTTCTACAAATCTTGTTTGTTGTAGGGACAGGAAAGCCAACTTGCTATAGGTTGATTCCCCCCACCCCCCTCCAGGCTCAAAGCAGATTTTATTAATAGATTAATTTATTGGGCACCTACAATCATACTGTACTACCGGTTTATAAACATCCTAAAGATTGTGGAAATTTGTTCAATTCAAGACAAATAAAATACGAAAGTTCCAATCAATCTTTATTTAGACCAAAACAGCAGATTAAGAATTTAACATATGATACATTAGCTACATTCACTAAGAATATAATCACGCAATATTAATATCAATACCTGGGAGAGTCAAACACAAAACCATGCCCAATAGCACGATAAGGCACTGATCATTTTGAGCAAACTCGCCTCCCTGTGGCTGCAGCTAGAGGAGAGAGGCAAAAACTGGAAAGAGCTGTGAATCACATCACCAGGATCTACTTCTTCCTTGCAGACACTGCAACCGAACACGTGGATCTTGGATCAGTCTCCTCAGTCATCTACTGACTTACCAATGACATCCCTATTTCCTGGAAGACTGTCATCTTTGCACCGAGGGACTGTTGCTGCAGCTGATGACTAATCACGCGGATGTTATTTTAATTCTATGGTGGACATTTTAGAAGGGAATGCAACACAGGCAATCCTGTGAACGACATGTATACTTTAAAACTAGCAAATCCTCCATATTCTCAATTAGCACTCAGTTTTAGGTTTCCCTAGCAGAAGGGCAGGGGAGAAGGGAGTCCATAGCAGCCTATTTGTTTTTAGCAGTTCCTCTAAGTTGGCTACACCTTGCCCTCGTCATCTGATACCTTCCTTCCCTCAGAATTCTGTCTTTCCCTGAAGAACTGGGAATTAATTTAGCTTTCTAAAGATCTCCGAGCCTGTGGAAAGCTCTGATGAATTTAATTTGCTTTCACCTTCTACCATCCAAGGTAGGGCAAGGAGGCTTCCACTACCTCTGATCTCCTGCCATACTGTTTATGAGAAAAAATTTTATCCCAGGATGGAGAACAATGTCTGAAAGTCCTTTCCAATATTAATGTTAATGGTAATTACAAAGAAAAAAAAAATAAGTTTCACCCATCAGCCATTTTCTCCATTCTGTGCATTTCTATGTCACTTTTTTTTTCTCCTCACAATAGTTTATGGAAAGGCATTAAGACAAGCACCGGGCATCACTGTGTCGTATAAAACAACCACTGATGGAACTTCCAGAACATGTGATATTCTTTCGGGGATTCAGGAAACATAATTCCACTACTATTCAAGGTTGTTTTGTTTTGTTTTTTCCTGGCACATGCAGGAACAACTACACCAAAATAATGGAATCGCATTTGGATCAACTGTAGTTGAACTTGACTCATGTTCATCATCCACATGGAATACAGTTTTGACTTGTTTAAGTATCAGATACCTCCTTGCCACCTGGCAGTATCCAGAATTAAGAAGTGCTACAAAAAACAAAGACACTAATAATGTGTATAATAAGCCTTTCCGAAACTGTAAGTAGCCATACTACAGTAGGGGGGGTTTTTTGGTTATAACATTCAGCCGGCAATTCAACATTACTGTAACGATCCTTGGGAGAACAGATGCAAAAGCAGCCAGCTATCCATTTCAAGTACTTTAAACGTACAAAACTTCTCTGGAATCTTGTCACGTATTCTAACACATTATTCTGACAGACTTTACAGCTCTTTCTGATCCAGTTTGGGGCAGCGAAATTAAATATGGAAGTAATCCAAATAAGATCACTTTATTTCATGATGAATCTATTTTCTTCAAAAGGAGACATACGTATTTTATGTGTGTATGCATGTATGTGCGTGCCCTTGGCCCTTATCTACCATGATCTCCTGCCTTACAGTGCAGGTATTATTACTGACACAGGGACAAAATGCAATGCAAAGAAAACCTCCTCCTCACCAGTCTCTCCGCCCACCCCCAAAAAGCAGCCTGCAGCTGGTTTGCAAAATCCTAGAACTAGTTAGAGTACTTCATGACCTCTGTTGCCAAAATTTAGTTCAGACTAAACTGGTACATGAAAAGGGTAGGCATCTGTTATGAAATTCAATTAAACATGTCTAAGAAAACTAAAATTCCATCAAGAAGTTGTATGATACTGGTCATGAAATAATATTTAAAAATCCTTCAGGAATAAAGGCTACTAACAATATTTAAAATTAATTTTCTAGTATTTCAATGGCTCTTAACAAAGGACTATACAATGATGCAAAGTATCTCACTATCAAGCTTCATACAGTGCCTAAAAGTATTACTGTCAGAAGTTGTAACTTCTTGGGCTTTTTCAAAGACCTGTGATGCAAAACCCCAGTTTACAAAGAATTTCCACCTCCAGTGACCAAAGAGACAACAACCTCCAGAAGATGTTAAATTACTCAAGTGTCAAGACTGTGCAAGTTTGCCAGCTCCCTTCTCCAAGATCTCTCCAAAGATGCTCAGAAATGGGACATGCACCTGGTCAACAGGAGTGGGACTCAGAACCACCAGAAACTGCCAACTGTGGTCTGGAAATTAAAGATCCCAGGCTCCTACATCACCGAAAGGTTTCCTGAAATCTCCTACAAAGTGGACTGAGAGGCAGAACATGGGCTAAGTAAAGTAACTTTGTTTCTTATTAGCCATGTTTTGTATACTTGTCAATGGAAGTGAAAAGCCCTGAAAATCCTTTCTGGCGTAAAACAAAGTTTACATGAGAACAGCACAAGTGTGACAACAGATTGGATGTATCCTCATTTCAAAACAGTATTACACATGACAAACCTTACAGCTGCTGTAGTTCACACACTAGAAAACATAAGCTTCTAACAGCACTGGCTCTTGGCAAATAAATCAATGCCAGAGTGCGGGATTAGTAGTTGGCACACGATATATCAAACTATTTGGAAGCCAAAAATAAAAAAGGTAGAGTCTCATCCTAAACTCTGACAAAATAACCAGCCAACAGCCAATATCATCTCAACCCACAATTATATTTTACAACCACTGTAACTACAACATTTTAAAAAACAAATTTAATCTTAAAACAAAACTTCATAACAAACTAATCAAGAGGAAAAGAAAGAAAAAAAAAAAAAAGCTTCCCTATCCCACCGTCCAAAATACATACTTTAACCTCCTTCATGTCCTAACATTCAGATCAGGCTTCCACTGCATTCACTGTAGACAACACACAGCAGCAAACAGCCTCAAAATTACTTACCACAAAGGGGAGAGATTTTAAGTGGTGTGCCTTCTTTAGGCTGGGGGAGGCAATGACCACGCTCTCCTGAAGCAGCCCTTCCATCTAAGATCCCATGCAACTGTCTAAATGGCCTCCAAATGTTTCACACAACTCCCCCTCCTCCCTTTTGTGATTGTAAAGACTGCTACCGCTTTGATACAACCAGAAACGGTTGACAGGTAAGAATGATATCAGGACAGTATTTAATGTGGTCTTTGCTTCTTTTAATACAATCTGACAGTCAGACACAAGGACAGTTAGCAACATATGACCAATCCACTCCTCGCCAACAAGTCCTCCATGGACCACAGCCTGAAAACTACTGCCTTAAATTTGTTAAGCGACAGAAAAAAAATGTTTTTTAAAAATTTGAAAATCATGTGACCTTGATTTGACTACAAGATGGTGGCGTGTACAAAGTGCAGTCCATCTGTGGGGGAACAGGCAGATTCCTACATGAATTAAAAGTAACAGGCCTTCAAGAGGCATCGAGAATCGCATAAAAATTTGGTTTGTTGGGTAGGTGCTTATCTTTAATGTTGCAAACTGAGACATTTTCCAGAAGGATTACGACTGAAGTATGGGACAGGGAGCAAGATATATCTACAGACAAAGAAACTCTCTGTGACTCAAAGGCTCTTTTCCTGGATGACTTGTGTTGTCCCACAGTGGGTAGCTTCCATCAAATATGCCATTAGCTGACATCTTTACTCAACTGCCAAACACTTTAAAATAAGTTCAATAACTATATCTTATAAATAGAATTTTGTTTTAAAATAATTTCACTTAAATTCTGAAACAATAAAAGTCAAAGTCTGAGTAAGTGGTTACATTACAGTGAGTTTCACCATTACTAAAAATAACCTCTATACAGAACAAAAAGCAGCAGATTCTGAAATTGCCATGGAATGCAACTTATTCAGATTTAAATCACTAGAACAGTTTTCTACTATTATTTTATAGTGGCCAGCACTCGTCAGAAGCTATTATTACAGTTCTGGTCCAGTGCAGGGCTACCAGAGTTACCTCTCATGGTGACACATAAATATTTGTTTTCATAACAATTATTTTCTACTGAGCCTTTCAAAGTCTACAAACTGGAAAGCCCTACCTGAGGGACCCTCTGCACTGCCTGACTCCATCTTCTACAGAAGAAAATTCTATATTCACTAAGAAACAAGGGAGGTAAGCATCTCTGACTCCTGAATCAATAGCACTAAATGCCTCTTCAGACTTCAGAATTCAATGTGTGACTCAGGGTTATAAGGCCTCTCCATTCCACAGATATCTTCCTGTGCTAGATCCTTCTCTGTTGATATCTTGGTTGCTTGAATCTGAAAGAAAGGGCATGTTTTTAAAAGTCCGACGCCCGCATTTAAGAACCGCATGCGATTATTTGAAAATGTCCTACAAAGAGTTGCTGAGAACAGAGCAAAGCAGCAAATATTGATTACTGTGAGTATTTCCCTGATGTGATTCTTTGAAACCAGAGGGGAAAATCTCAACTTGCTCACTAAGGGCCCCGACTACATTACGTAAAGAAAGCAAGGCTTGCCAAACAGCTTTCTTGCTTTAGTTTCCCACATCTATACAACACATTGTGACCCCACCCATCTGACAGCCAAAGACTTTATAAACTGTTGGTATCCACTGGTAGCAACCCACGGGAAATCTTGAATTCAGATTCAGCTGAAATGCTGCATCTGTAATATTTTCTCCCCGATACAGGGAGCAAGCCACAAATATTAAGAATTCACCAAATCGGGTAGCTCTCCTAATTCCACACTGCAACAACTGAACTGTAACCTACATATAAACTCTTTGTCTGTGTGCTGTTTCGCTAAGACATGCTGATGCAAAATCCCTCGGATTCCTTTTGGACATTAGTAGCTTCTTTTCCTCACAGTGTACCTCTACATACCAGTTTTGCAAGTCCCCTGGATAAATACTGGCTGAAAGCTGATCTGAGTAGTTACCAAGGGGAAAGCCACAAAAGACGAAACAAAAAAAACCCTCTTCAGCATTAACAAATTCCAAATCATCTTACCTGGAAAGGCTGGCTAATGCCAACTACTGATTGAAAAGTGTGGCTATAAAAACAAAGCAGAAACTCTCCTCCTGCGTGGGGGATTTCATCGGCACTCAGGTAAACCTGGTAACACAGAGAGACTTGCATTAGCAAATCACAGACAAAGCAACTAACAAGCTGCCTTTGCTATTCACGGACTTATAAACGCAATATTTAATACTAAGCCACCTCTAACCCATTAATTACTCATTCAGCAGTGAGGGCTTCATTGTTCTTAGAGAAAGCCTAAGAGTAATTGGTCTTTCATCACATCATAGCTTCTACAGAGCACGCTAAAAAGACAGGTTCAGTTATAATTTGCTGCTCTTTGCCTTTTGCTGCGCATCACAACTCACCTGTCTCTTGCCTGACAAGAATTTCTCTTTGCTAGTAAGATCATACTCATGCAAAAGTTAAATAAAAATTATCCTAGGCTTCCACAAGGGCCAGAGTCTACTGTGATACTTTCGGCAAAAGTTTTATGTATATTCTGCAGTATTAAACTAGAACATCTTCTTAGTACACTGCCACTCATTTTGCCAACAAGTCAACAATTTCCCCATAAATTTGCATATAGTCTGGAACTTTTTATTTAAAAAAAAAAAAAAAAAAAACTTCTGGAACTAAATCTCACTTTAATTACTTTAAACAAATGCAACTAGAAAGCTTTCAATGAGAAACAAATTAAATCATCTGATAAAAGAATGGATCAAAATTCTCCATGACGAGAAAGGTCTGATGAAGATTATAAAAAAAATCTGTTAAATCAAACATTTATCACTACCCTAATGAAACCACACAATATCCAAAGGGAAACAAACAACCCTAGTGGCCAAGTATAAAAGGGGTCAAGCCAGCTACTAAGAAGACGGGACCAGACTTGATCAAGAGACGGTCTCATTCAAACAACAGTCTGGTATGCAATGGTGGGTCACTTCAAATATGAGAGGAGCCAGCCAAATAAAGCATTCTTTCAGTAGCACTCTCAGACTAGGAGAGGAAAAGAAACAGTAAAAGTATGCTGAATCACCCTTTTAAACTATGTAGCAGGCAGAAAGATGGACAACAAAGGCTAACTCTGCTGCCAGCTAGTTGAGACTGGAAAAGAACGCACGATGCAAAATTCTGAAAACGAGTAGGGTGGAGGACTCCCTTAACGCCATTATATTACCCACATCGAGATTTTTATATTTGCCTCACTAGATTAGTATCTTCAGTGAAGGAAATTTCATCATCTTTCACCCAGGCGTAAGTCACATAGTCATTCACATGCTTAAAGGTCACCTGCAAAGGAAAAGAGGAGACCATCAGCCCTCCAAAAGAGAAAACAAGACAGGCTGGGGAAACGAGGAAAGCCTGAAACTAGGGGACTTGTCAACTTGTCAATATATTACTAGAAACTAACTAAAAACATACATTCACTTTCAAAGACACCCACTGAACCTTACCAATAATTTGTCATTGCGAGATGTCTTAACCCCAGTCCCTCTACCTAACCTTCTTTCATTTTGTTGTTCCTAATTAAATTAACTACACCAGATCTACTTCTGAAATGTAGGCACATTGGGGAAGAGGCCATTATACACTATGCTTTGGGCTCAGCACATTTTGAGCAACTCACTACTTTTAGCTAATGTTATTTTTAGGAATAATAAAAACCTTTGTTTTTCTGTCCCGCTGATATGTTAATAACTAAACCAAGAGGTGGATGGTTCCACATATATTGAAAGAATCAGTAAGCAGGAACCACACAGGAACACCCATTTCAGAACTCCAGCTGTAAGAACCATACGATGTTACGGTAAAGACAATTAATTTTGAGAGAGAGGCAATGTTAGGGTAGTATCACCTTGTAGAGCCCAATCCAGTCCCAGGTACTGCTGGGAAATTTGGGGACTGTGGAATAGCTGATTAGAACGTCTCGCTCAGCATTCCACTCACCCTCAGGATTCACAGTGACCAATGGAACAGACACAAAAGGCTTCATCTAGGCACAGGGAAAAATAGTTTTAAATAATGCAACTTTTCATACCCATCAGCTATATACCTATCAGCTACAGCAGAGTTATTGATTCTTTGCTATGCTTGCTGTAGGGCACTCAATTTCACAGAGGCAAGTGGACAACAGGAACATGGAAGGCATATTCCACAGGAAAAAGTTCTTAAAAATGACAGAAGCCTTGAAATGCCTCTGTCTGTGCAAGCTGCGTTTCAGGAACAGGAAGCCATTAAGAAGAGAACATTGTCACCATAAGATGAACAGTTTGTGGATGAAATCCACTGCCCATCTGTAGAAGAATCAGTGCAACATTTTGTAACTTAAGGAGAATATGGGACTATTTACACTGCTCAACTAGGCAGCAGCACACTCGGCCCCCCCTGGTTACCACTTCCCAAACCAGAAGCGGTAGAGCTACATTGGTATGGCATGCCAGTAACCTCTGCTCCTCAGTGGCTTCCTTCAGGAAAGCAGTGCATGCTGAGCAAGTGCAGTATTTTAGTATGGCAGTGCCTGGCACAGTTGCCAAGAGGCGCAGAAAGTACCTCTGTTTGAACTTCCTGGGCTGCACCCTTCTACGTGTGCCTTTCATTCTGGCTAAGACTTACAAAAAAGAATGAGATTCTGCACAACAGGATTAATTTTAAGAAGTGGTAATGTTAGCAAGAATACGAATGGTGAAATGTTGGCTTCCAGTGTTGAAGTAGAACCATACCTCAAGCCCAAAGGTCCCTGTAACAGGTTTGTGATCACTGATGCCATAGCTCATGTGACTGATATAGTTCTTCAAAGTCACAGAGACTGCCTGCTCCTTTTGGGGCAATTCTCCTTCCTTCAACACGGATGAACAGAGATTCTTTACTCTCCAAAGAATCCGATCAGTCCACGCTGGTTTTCGTTTCTTCCCACTAGAAAAACAGAAGCGGGAAGAGTAAAAGGAAAAAGAAAACAAAGTTGCCAGAAGCTAAAAAGCCACGTAGCATCTATTCAAAGTTGAGACGCTGTCAGAAAGCTACGACAGCAATGTCCAAAGCAACAACTTCCAAACTTCATTTTACAGGTCTGCTCTAACATAGGTACAGCCTAGTTGTCAGCTGAACTTTATCATAAAAGATCAGCTTTTAAGAACCCCTGTAAGCAGACGGAAGTAAAATAAAGGGGGAGCGTTGGACTAGGTTAGTCAGTTTCAAAGAGGAAATGATGCTTTCTCCTAAAACTCACTGCAAGAGCATGCATGCCTTTAGGACAATTTCTGTAGTCGCTCAAACTCAAGCCTGGGGCCATCAGGAAGCGACTGGCAACCCTCAGCCCTTTCCTGCCTAGGGCTTACTGTAGCAGGGGCCAAACTTTATTGGGCAACCATGCCACAGATTAGCCCTACAACCTCCAAGTGCCACGCTAATTCTCTTTGCCTGCCTGATCTCCTGCTCTGCTTTCTGCTTCCTTCCTTGTCCTCCCTGCCTGATTTGCTGCTTTGCATTCTGCTTCCTGCCTTATCTCCCATTGCACTGCCCGTCTCTGCCCCAATCTGCCATCTGCCATATACACAGGCCATCTCTGCTACTTGTGGCACATGTTACAGGTTGGCCGCTCCTGGCTTACTGCATTAGAATCTTAACCCTGGTATATATTTGCTTATTTAAAGTGTTTATTCTTAATTCTGTTTTTGTTTGTTTGTTTGTTTTCTTTTTTTTTTTTTTTTTCTTAAGAACAGAGCAATTGTCTCAACATCCAGCTGGACACTTTTACTGATGCCAGTTACGTAGCTCTTCCAGCCTCACCTGGTATGAAGAAGAGACGGTAATAACTTGCTCAACACTGCCCTCCAGGCTTTTCTAACAACTTCTGCACTTGGGATGGATACAAGTTTTCCCATAACATAACGCTTTATAACAGTCACAAGAGAAAACTGTGTCTGAGGACAGCAGATCCTCACACTTGAGTTGCTTGCAATGTCAAACTGCAACCAAGACAGTTTAAGAGTTTGTTTCTGTATTGTATCAGCAATCCCATATGGGTGTATCAGTTCAAAGTGAAATGGAGAAAAGATCATACCCCATGAAAGAGGAATTAATAGATTGGATCAAATTATAAGGATTAAAAAGGCAAGGTGTACAAGGAAAACTGCCAGTCTGTTAACTCCAAACCTCAAATTAGCTTAAACAAGAGAGGCAGTTTAAAAAACAAGTACACTTTTTCTCCTACCCATGCTTAAGTCTGACTCATTTCAAATTGGAGATGGAGATTAAGTAGCTGTATATAAAAGAGAAAACAAAACCACATATACTAGTAGTAATACATACTGCAGCTTATGAAGATTTCTGTCACTTTGTCTGCTCTGGTGTGTAAAGCAATACCAAATGAAGAGCAAAAACAAAAAAAAAAGTATTATTGCATTCTCCATTTTCCCTGATGACATGGCATAACCACATAAAAAAGGGAAGCTAAGAAGTGCGCACCACTATTCAGCAGAGTAGCCAGAATTTTATATGCACACGCATGTGCGCAAGCATATATTTTTTACATGTACACATTCAGGACCTTTCAATAAATATGCATCTTTATATATTCAGCACCTTTCAATGGACACATACACATTGCATCTCTGCACTGAATGATGCTGAATTACCGACTGAGTCTGAATCATCCTTTGTAAGTACACTTGGGGAGAAAAAAAAAAAGCATGGGGCCCTGTTCTCCCTTCAGGAAGTCAAAAAAAAAATCCATTAACCTTAAAGAACTTAACGTACACAATAAAGATATTTAAGTATACCTTTCAGGAAGTCATAAAGAATGCTCACAATATTCAGATTAAGTAACCTAAAGTCCCATGAAATACTGGGGAAGTAGACTTTATGGCCTAGGAGCTCCCTCCCAATTCTACGTTACTGTATTAGGATTTGTCAAGTGTAGATAATAATGCATACTTGACTCATTACTGGAATTATGGCTGGTCCCAGTACACCTATCCATTTGTGCTTCGTTAGAGTGCAGTGTTTTTGATCAAGATTAGTAAATTATGAATAATTTTGGTGATTGTCTTAGTGGTACAGCAGAAGAGACAAAGCTATAACTTAATAACATTCAGTTAATTTCTTCAGAAAGATTAGAAGCAAGCAGGTGTTTTTTTTAAATAGTACACAAGGCTCAAAATTAAAAAAAAAAATCTCAGCGTGAGCTTTGCTTCTAAAATATATACAATCTATGAAATCCAAAGAGTTATCTTCTTACTTAAACCAAAAGAGCGTCTTCTGCTCCCTGGAAATAAAAATAAAGATCAGTACAAAACTCCAGTTGGCCAAGAATCAACTCCTCCATTTAAATGTGTCATGCAGGAAGTCAACTAAGGTTTAAAGCAATTAGAGAAAAAGAGTAAATATCTTAAAATCTTTATAAAAACGTTGCTTGAAAGTGCTTTTCTGGAATATTTAAAGCAACGACAAAAAATAAAGAAATTAACTTCTGTAATTTCCCAATAGTAGCTTCATCCAACACCACAATTGAGGAAAATAATAAATCACAGCTAAACAGTTTTGTATAATTATCCATTTATACCTTCAGGCCATATTGTTAACCTTTGCAAGTTATTACTTGCCAAGTACAATTTATAAAGTCAGGATAAATTATCTGTCTCGCTTGGACTGTATTCATACTTTTAAAAAATTCTTACAGCCTGCACTTCTGAATGCTATGAAACCTGAAATGAGCTAAAAAGGAAGAACACACAGTTAGAATAAACAGTCAATTTTTACCCAAATACACTATTTAATATATCAATTTGGAAAAACAATGAACAAAGGAGATTTACATTGGGAGCCATCTGTTGATAGAGTTGCCTCTTACTACACTTCAAAGTGCTTCTAAGGTAGAACACTAGCACTGGCAACACTCTGCTGTTGTTGGTGTAACTATGTCTAAACTAGAAGCTTTTAGCAGCGCACCCATGTGTCAGTCAGGAATCCCATTTTACTGCACCCCTGACCAAGCAGCTTTGCCAGCAAAAGTCAGCAATGCAAACCTGACCACAGGATCTTTAGAAGAAACTCACCGAGTTAGCTAAATGGGCAACGCAATGGAGGATAAAAACAAATTATGGCAAAAGGAAGGTAAGGCATATTGGAAAGAATAGTGTAAAACTTGCCACTTTCTAAACTAATCTACCGCCAATCAAAAATAAATGGAGGCATCATTGTGCAACCATGGTTGAAAAGCAAACAAAAGACTATTAGTATGTACAAAGAATGAAATACAAAATATGGAAATCATTATAAACCATTACTTAAGTAAGCAGTACACTCTCACAGGCATAACAAAAGCTAATAACTAGAAGTTGAAGGGGGGGGAAATCTAACTGGAAAGCGCAAGTAGCAAATTTATGTTATCAGTAATGAACCATTAAAACAGCTTGTCAAGGGATATAGTAGACATGGAGTCTCTTGGTGAAGATTTCTTTCTAGAAGTTACAGTTAAGCCATGAATCATTGGTACAAATGCAGGAATTCTTAGCTGAATAAACTGCTATAACATGGCTCAAGTAAGAGATGAGACTTAATGACTATTATGATCTTCTCTTGATTTTTTCAGGCTATAAAGGAAAAAAGGTTACCTTTGGCCTGAAAAGGGGAACTTCAAAACCAACGGTGTTTTAATATGACTGAGCACCTGAAAACAACTGTTTAGAAAAAAAAGTGGAATTTGCACCATCCACCTGGTTTTCCCAAATGCAAACTCAGGCCAGTGTTGGCATGTTCACTCCTCATGTGATTTCAAAACCCAGAAGTATGTATTTATTCAGCAGTGCCCACAGAATGGGCAGCAACATTAATGTATGCAACAGCCTAATGGTCGAACAACAATTTGGAGGAAAAACAAAACAAAACTAAGATTATGTTTTGGATCCAGCTGATACCTTTGGGGCACAAGGTTCCTCTTAACAGACTACTTCCTGCTTGAACGCAAATCAATCGTGTTTTTACCTGGTGTCATACACATCTGTGTAAAGATCAAACTTGTAGGTGGGTTTAAACTGCAGAGGACCCTCCATGAATTCTTTGAGAAAGGATTCCTTCTTCTTCGCCATATTTAACTGAAAAGAAATATAATGATGGACAATGTTGCAAAGAACAGTATTTAAAGCAAAAATTAAAATTGAAGTTTAAAAAAAAAAAAAAGCATTCACGAAAGAGATGAAGAAACTTCTCACAATAGTAACTGGTGTTTTATTTAGTGAAACATACTTGAGAAAGAAAATAGAGCATATGAACAGAGACTATATGACTATAGCCTTTTATCTACACTTCTTAGAAATACTGTAACAGCTATTCAGAATGTAACAGAATGCTAGAACCAAAGCATTTCAGTATTTTAAATAGGATGGAAGAAACAGGAAAAAAAAAAAATCAAGATAACAGGACAATTTGCAAGCCAGCAAAGTCCAGAGAAAGCTGCAATCGGGACTTAGCACTAGGGCCAAGTTAGAAAGTTAATGAAGCAAGAAATAAGTAGTCCACTTCTTAATGGTATTCAAAACTGAAATGCAAGAATTCCTACACAGCTAAGCAAGTTCCAATATGGACTAAGTTAAGAATACGTGCATAAAAAGAATAAGTGCATAACACCTAATTAATATTAGGTAAATTAGGTATTCATTTGCCCAACATCAGCTCTCTGATCCAGGGATATAAACAGCACTGACAGGAAAAGTAATAGCAGTAAGTGTTAACGTGACACAATAGCTAAGACATATTTGCACTAGAATCAGGAGAGGATTAAAGATAGACAATACTTGATCCTTTTCCCATAGCAAGTTGTATCGGCACTTATTTATCGACTCTCGGACAAAATGCATTCCATGATCTGCTATTCGGAAGTTAAGATCTCCAAACCAGAAGAGAAGGCTTAAAAAAAGGAAAAACATAGTAAGTGATTATAACTCCCTCATAAAGGCACCTGTTTCAGGGGATTGTGAACATAGGAAGGGAAAACAATTTTGAAATATAGGTTACTCCATTGCTTATTTTCTTAACGTCTAATCTAAATGCCACTAAAAAGAGCTTTATTTAGTGACAGTTATCATAGAATCATAGAAGTCGGGCTGGGAGGGACCTTGTAGATCTTCAAGTCCGACCCCCTGCCTGGGCAGGAGAAAAAAACTGGGCTCAAATGATCCCAGCCAAGTAGGCATCCA